TTCCTACATTTTTTCTTTGGAAATCCTATGAACCAAAGGGGCCCTAAATTTAGCATCTAAATTTGGCATCATCATTTAATTTGGAAGTTGCAATACATGTGCATTGTGCTTATGTAATCTATATCTATAACCTATTGTTTACTGCTTGAATTTCATAGTATTTAATCCATATCAGTACCTGTGTGTTGTGCTTATGTAATCCATATCAATATGAAACCTGCATTACTTGTTATGAACTAATCTCTTGGGTTTTTAATTAAAGTCCTCTTCCACTATCTGTAACTTAATGTTTACTGCTTGAATTTTATAGGAAGCTATGGAAACTATACGAGTAGAACCTGTTGCTGATGGGTACGAACCAATGACAAGTGCTGATGTTTTTCCCAAGGTCATTTGCCTCTCCCATGGCTAGGTCCACTCCCAGGTCAACGGCAACACCCTTTTTTTGAAGAATGCTGGTATCCCGACAAGTTATGCCAGAACAGAGACATCGGTGGAGAGAATGCTTCAGGAATAGCTTGTTGCTGAATAGGAAAGTTTCACTAACCTCGTCGAACAAGTGGATGAACTAAAGAGAATGACAGAAAAAGACTAAAAGGGAGTTTGAGGAGTTCAAGATACAATAACAGGAGTACAATAAGCTACGTGAGGATATCATGCTCTTCAGCTCATCTTCTGGTGACTCTCAATCGTCAACTCTGTTGGCTTGATGCAGTGAACATTTGTGGTTTGATGTGTGTACTCGTGTGTTGGTTTGATGTGGTGAAACTATCAGTGGGTTGCTACTGATATGTAAACAGTAATTTATTGTATTTGATTGTCATGCTGAATAATTATGTAGACATCGTCGAATAATTATGTAGTCAATCTATGCAGCAGTGACGATCTTGAATTACTTTTATGATGAATTGATTGTTGGGCACATGGGAGAACCTAGGCAGGCCACGTGATCAAATAAAAATGCGACACGTAGACGAATCAGTGCATGACACATGAAATAGCTATGGCACGACACGTGGGCTAATAAAAATCCAACACGTGGAAGGAAGTCGTCAAGCCACGTGGCTTAATAATAAAACAAAATGTGGACGAATAGCACCGTGACACATGGTCGAATAAGAAACGACCATGTGGACCTATAAAAATATGATACATGGTCCAATAAAGAAATGACACGTGACCCAACCGCAATACGACACGTGTGCTAATAGAAAACTGACATGTGGAACAATATGGGCCTAACACGTGGTCCATTAAGAACCTGAAACGTGCAAGAACCAGAGATGGCCACGTTGTCCAATAATAAGGTGACACGTACCGGAACCATCTCCAATGCAACTGCCTATAGTAGGTACACGTGAAAAGCATCTCCAACGAAAGCAACCGCCAGCGTGGCTGCCCCCTGCCACGCATACCAAAACAGTTCTATGAATGTCAGTTTTCATCATAGATCTATCCACTTGTACGACGATTTTTCTAGAATCGTCATAGAAGTTCAAGAATGATGCAACTTCTATGACTAACCGCTTTTCGTCATAAATTCGTCATAAAACTAAAATTACGACGAATTTGGCTCCTTCAATAACGAAAGTTGTTCCTTCTAGAACTGGATATTCCTAGTAGTGCAATATGGAATGACGGATGGGCTTCCACCCAAACACAAAAGCCATTAAAGAATAATTAGAAAGCCACTAAGGACATGTACAATCCACAGATAAGAGGTTATAAGTTTTTGAAATCGGACACATAGATAACTAAATAGATATCTCGTACACAGTGAGTTGTCTATTTGACTGTCTATGAAATGATTAATGCATACAAGCAACCATGATCAAGTATAAATATGATCAAGCATAAATAGACAGCTCGTATAGTCGAAAGAAGTAAAAGGACATTAAAGAACAATAAGAGAAGATGCACTTAATGTGAATAACTCGAAAGACACTTAGTGGGATAAAGAACAATGATCGGAGGCACTTAGTGGGTTTGTATAGGTGACGTGGCTTCACAAATCATAGAAAAATCTTGTAGTGGGGTCTCCTATTTAGGTATAGTAGATGTCATAACTCCCAAATGGTCTAACTTTGCATTTTGATTATCATTATTTTTAAATTTTGGCCACCAAGTTTGGTTTTCCTGGTTTTTATGTGGGCCCACAGTGCTTGAGCTCACATGATAGTGGTTTTTGAATTTGAAGAAAAATCCAAACTCGTACAAAACTTTTGCAAAAAAAATCATGGAGATGCTTTAGGACACCAGGAACAGAAAAAAATAACTAGCGCTCATGAAACAAGTTCTAGAAGCATCGAATGAAAATTTTAATATATCTAAAAGATGAAAAGAGATTTCTGGCACACGCATATTTCAGCTACAACACGGCTTTTGAATTCCCATATATAGTTATCACATATGATGAATAGATTTCCCCATCGTTGGTGAGAGGGTATAGTTTGGGTTTACTTAGATTTCTAAAGCCCTTTTCATTTTATAAATCTTTTATTTAAAGTTTCTAGAACTTGTTTAGGCTCTATTTGGATGCAAAGTATTTTTGAAGTGTTGGAGAAATACTACGGTCTTACAAAATACTTTGGTTTTTAAAAGCTACTATGTGTTTGGATGCAACAAACCTTATAGTCTCTAAAATCGTGGTTTTGTCAAAACTGTAGTCTTTTTGGAGTTTTAGAAACACCACTCATGACCATTTTTTTCTAAACCACGGTTTTATGTCTCTTTTGCTTATAAAACCACAGTTTTGTGATACTACGTTTTTAAAAACCGCATCATCCAAATAGGCCCTTAGTAACTTGTAGTTATTTTTGTGGGATTCCATGTGTTCCAAGCTATCTCCAAGATTTTTTCAGAATATAGAAAAAAAGGTGTTATACACATAACCACTTCTTTATGTCCTTACATGAACAAAAAAATTTGCTCAAACAAATTGTCATTTGATTAGAAGGTTGCATAATCCTTAATCTTATTAAGTAACTTTTCTAAATAGACAAAAAAACATTGCAACAATGTGTTCATTTTTGCAACATCCAACAAGAGCAACCTACTTTATCTGTCCTAGGAAAAATATGAAGAACCACTACAACAACCAAAAGTATCCTGCTTGTTAAAATGTCCATAATAGAATAATATGACAACAAGAAACAAATATGAAGAACTACCGTAAAAACATAAAAAAACATGTGACATAAAGTTATCTTCATTAATAAGAAAAAAATATCAGCTTCAATAGAATAGTTTGAATTAAGGCAGCAGAAGAAGAATTTATGTAAAAGTTTGAAGATATTAGCACAAGTGTACATAAAATATTTGTGAGTTTTTTTATCCATTGTGACATTAAGAATACCTATTGTATTGGACCCAGAGGTTTTTCATAGGTTAATAAAATCTTTTAGTATATATACATCAACAATCGCTCATGTCAAATGTGCTTCTTGCTAAAACAAATACAATGGTATCGGTGCAACTCACTTACAAGAAGAACCAAGAAAGCTATGTCTTTCTCGATGCCTAGTGGACGCTACAACCTTGAGCAATGAGGTTTAAGCCTAGCGCACCGAATTTCATCCTCTGTAACGTTCACACCTGCGTGCTGCTCCATAGGTTTAAGGTTTTGTCAACATTTCTTATCACTGAGTGCTATCTTCACATCTTAGGTTACATCCTACTTTGTTGCATCTTGATGATGTGATCTCGACTTGTTTGGATTCAAGCTTGATATTGCAACCACTATTTATATATCTTGTACTAATTGTAAATGATGTTGGTAGTCGGATGCATGGGTTCATGTCCCTCGCTCCTCCTTTTCGTTTCCTTTTTTTAATCCTCCTACTAAGTCATCCGACATTGGAGGGCTGTATGGAATGTGGGAAAAAATTTTGTTCCTACAATTTTCTGAGAAATTAACTATTGTGAAATTTATGCGTCCCAAGAAGGCCCACTTCAAAGTTATAATGTTTGTTTTCTATTGAGCATATAGTTGGTTTTCCCACTTTGTAAATGATTTATCAGGGTCTTGTATTTCACTATATCTTCTTTCACTTTTTTACATCCTTCTATTTTTGCACATCTCATATCAAATCAAACGATCTTTGCATTTTTTTTTTTTATTATATTTTGCATAAAAAGATCATTTGGAATTGCAACTTTCATCTCACAAATTCATGTAAAGTGCAATGAAGGAGTTGGATTTATTTCTTGAACAATGGCACATATTATTTGTAATAGATAAATAAATATAGGGCTATTTTGGGTTATTGTTTGTGCAATGTCAGTGGTGGATAATAATTTATTAATAACTTGTTAGGATTATTCTTATATTTTTCAGGAAATGTTTTTATTCTTATATGGTTAACGTGGTATGTTTAGGGCCCAGGACACATGTTTTTTTTCCAGAGTTTTCTAGCCCAGGTAAGATTCTGTGTAATGCAGGCCGAGGTACATGATCGTAGCCCAAATCCAAACAACCGAGTGGGGCGATCCCTGCTCCGACCGAGACAACAGACAAAGGCCCGGCCAAGCCGCCAGGCAGGCCATGAGCTGGCGCGCGCCGAAACGAGCAGGCAACGTGCCACGGGCCACCCCCACGTGTAGGCCGCGACACCCCCACCTGCGCCAGCCACACGCCCACACGAGCCGTCGCCGGAGGCCGGAGCACCCGCACCACGTACAAGATGCACACGGCTCGCCTGCTCGCTCCACCGCACACCATATTTTTACTTTACATACACACATGGTGCTCTTCCTCCGTCCATAGCATAGGGGGCAAGAACAGAGACAGAGGAGCTAGCAGATACCCAGGGGCCGGGGGGGTTATCCATGCTGCTCCGGCTGAAGATCGTCGGCGTCCACTCGGTGGTGCTTCCAGTTCCAGGCGGCTATGAGCACCATGGCGCCTGCTACGCGGCAGCGCCCTGCTGCTGGCGTCGCAGCCGGAGGCCGGCGGCGGGTAGCGTCGTCGCCAGGCGGCCGGGGGGAGCGCCACGGTGGTGATGGCGCTCAAGGAGGAGCCGGAGGGCAGCCGCAGCGGCTTCGCCGGCGGCGGGCCGAGCTGGGACCCCGGGCTGGAGATCCAAGTCCCCTTCGAGCAAAGACCGGTAACAGCAGATGACTGATTTGTGGTGCGTATTGCTGCTGCTGGCGTGGATCGTCTGGCCACTGTTCCATATTTCTGTTTGGTGCAGGTGAACGAGTACTCTGCTCTCAAGGATAGCACCCTCTACTCGTGGGCGGAGCTGAGACCAGGCTCCTTCTTCCTGCGGCTCGGCGGCCTGTGCCTGGTGACCTTCACTGTACTCGCGGCTCCAATTGCAGCCGCAAGCTTCAATCCAGGGAAGGTTCGATCAAAATCTTCCATCTTTTCTGACAAAACGTAAGACTACTGTCGTTCAGTTCGTCACCTGAATGGCTGAATCAGAGAACACACGGAGCTGTAGCTTAGCTTAGGACCCAGCCAACATATGGGGGACTCTGTCAGTTGGCATGCGTCCCTGTAATTTAGCTTGGTCATTTCTTCATCTTTGAAATTCTGTCCAAACTATATGCAGGATCCACTCAAGTTTGTGCTAGCAGCTGGGATCGGGACGCTGCTTCTGGTGTCATTGGTGGTTCTCAGGATCTATCTGGTAAGCACGTCGAGAAAAAGACAAGGACTTATTATCTGGTGTATTAAGTCATACTTACAGTTAGAGGATTATACTGAGACAACCAAGAACTAGTGGTATCTTTGCCAATGGATTTGTTCTGAACTGTGCTAGTCTTAACTTGTGTTAGTACCGACCTTCTACAGTGTCCGTGTGCAGGGATGGAGCTATGTTGGTGATAGGCTGTTGTCAGCAGTGGTACCGTATGAAGAAACCGGATGATACGACGGCCAAATGTGGGTAAAGCCACCAGAGGTAAACAAACATGATTCACTTGCCAGCAAGATTGTTAACAAACAAAATATATTTGAAAGCTTTCAGCAGTACTCCATCTGATCCCAAATGTATGATTGCACTTGCATATTATTAGTAAAATGTTCCTTTCTCTTTCATCACAGAAAACTCACTTAAGACGCCATTGTTCAACGAATAGATCTCACTATTAAACTCGCTGATCGAAGCTAACCACATCTCCTAGAACTAGTTGTACAAAAAGATCCAAGTTTACACATCTGCATTTCCATTTCGCTACAGGTGTTGGCTCGTGACAGGCTCTTGGGATCTTACAAGGTAATACAAAACCTTTTGGCAGGGTCTATTTCTCTCTACTTAATTTCAGACACGAGCACCCCCAAACAAACTGGACAGAGTCCCTCTGCATGTACACTCTCTAAGTCTCGCTCACCGATGAGGAATCTCTGCAGGTAAAGCCGGTGATCAACCTGCTGAAGCAGACGCTGGTGGGCACCGGCGCGCTGCTCGTCGGCGCCGTGTCGCTCTTCGCCTTTGCCGCGCCCGTCGAGGACTTCCTCCACGCCCTGAACCAGCCTCCCTCCGCCGCGTCGTCCAAGCCAAGCTTGAGGTGAACATGCATGCAATGCAAGACTCTTGCATAGTCTCTTGTTACAGCTTCGCTTGATGCTTGCATCGCCCTCCCTACCACGTAGGAAGGAGGAGCTGCTGCGGCTACCTGTGGAGGTGATGCAGGACGACGACCTCGCCGCGGCCGCGGCGGAGGCCGCCGACGGACGGCCGGTCTACTGCAGGGACCGCTACTACCGGGCGCTCGCCGGCGGGCAGTACTGCAAGTGGGACGACCTGCTCAACTGATAAATACCCAGTACGGTAGTGTTGTGATACATGCGCAGTGCCATGTTGATACGACGCGGCAAGACAAAGATGTATTTTGTCAGAATGGAAATTTTGTGAGTGAACTTGATGGATGTGTGTAATAGATAGCCTTTCTCCGTCGTCTCGCTTACCAAGTATACAGAGGTACCACATTACAGAAGTACAACACATTTTTGAGTAGTGTTGGGTATTAAAATTCTAGAATACCAAAAACTATTTATGATATCAAATAGATCTCATTAGATACATATGAAATGCATTTTCATAATTTATCTTTGTAGATGTTAATACTCTCATATATAAATATAGTCAAACTTACGATAATTTTATTTAAAATAACTGAAAATCCTTTGTATTTCAGAACTTGGAGGGTATAATTTGGTACTTCATGGTTCAAACTTATAAGGTTTGCTCTGCTTGGAAGCTCGGTATTCAGTCTAAAACCCTTGTAAATTACAAGCCTGGAAACTTTGTCAGCCCAATTCAAAATTTTAGACCTGGTTTAAGCCAAAACCAGCAGATAAAATAGGTTGCCTACTCAGGCCTGAAAAAAAGGGCTTGGGCTTATCCGGTTAATCCCATACAGAAGGAGATGATAAGGATTTTGAATTTTGGGATTTATTAATCTCTTTCAAGACCCTCTAATCCCCCTTTAATACCCACCAAACCTAACAAGGTCTAACGTGGCAATTGTCGAATCCTAACTTGAGGCTTTCAATTTCAACTATTCTTTGGAGCTATATTGAATGAAAAACAGATGTGTGCGTGTGCAAAGAATTCAGTCTCCCCACGCAACATTTCAGCTCTGCCCTTTTCCACAGTCGTACCTGCTCTTATGGTATGGTTCGGTTTGCCTAGAGGAGTTGAGATTCAAATAAATAGATAGATAGATTGACTTGGAGCTTGTGATCAAATGGCTACAAAATCGAGATGACATGGCTGAAGTTTTGTAGCAATGCAACATGCACACAATAACTTTGTACCATCTCTGTCCTCAAAAAGAATACAATTCTAGATGCATTCTCGGTTTAAGTGTCCAAAGTTTGACCAAATATATAGATAAAAATATTAATATTTTTGACACTAAATAAAGATATTATAAAAATATATCTCATGACAAATCTAATAATACTTATTTGATATCATAACTATTTATACTTTTTATATATAATTAGTTAAATTTAAGATACTTTAACATGACACTGTGATAGAGTTACATTCTTTTATGAACGGATGGAGTATAAGCGAACGCCTTCGTCCCCTAAAAAAATGTTATTCTCTCACTTTCTAATAATTGAAACATTTTTAACTTTAACTAAACATATAAGAAAATATTCATATTTTTAGTACATAATTAGTACCATTAGATAGATCGTTAAATATATTTTTTAAAATAAACATATTTTTTGAGATATACATATTGCTAATATTGTCTACAAATCTAATTAAATTTTAAATAGTTTGGCCACCACAAATCCTATAGCCATATTTTTATGGGAAGGAGGGAGTATTCTCTTATCTACTACGGTGATGTAACTTCCGTGTGAGATTGTTAAAACGTACTACGACTCATCGCGTGCCGTGCCTTTGAACAGCAACGGTTCGATGTTCTTTGTTTCGTGTGTGGTGCTCGAGCACATAGTCATGATTGGCTCAAGAACGCGTGCGGGTGGAACTGACGAGGATAAAAGCTTCGGCAAATCTAGGACATGTTCCCTGCGTCTGAAAAAGAGTACTATAGTTCTAGCATAGTATAGTCAACCCATTTAAATTTGATCAAATTTATACAAAATTTATCAATATATATTTTTAAGAGACCAAATAGGTGTCACTAAATTCATCAAGAAACATTTATTTCTATAATAGACTTATTGTGTGTTAAAAATACTAATATTCTTTTATAAATTTAGTCAAACTAATGAAAAACTGATTAAAGATATAGCTAGACTTGTATTCTTTTTAGGATGGAGGCATAAGTCAGTAAGCATACCGATGGTCTTTTATACTCGGTCCATTGGTAATGGAAGACCTAATCTCAAATGACAATGGAACCATACATGTACTTAGAGCATCTCCGAAAGACTCTGTAAAATAAATCTCTAAATATCAGGATTTAGAGGCTCTCCAGAAAAAATGGCTCTTCAAAACCTAGTGCATCACAACAGCCTCTCCATATTTAGATGCATCTTCATGTTGAATGGGCCACACAGTAGATATTTTTCTCTCTCTCCTCTCCATCGTGAAGACCAATTGCCCGATTTATTTCCTTTGCATCTCATGTGTGCCTTCATTCATCTGCAAGGGAAGGCTGCAGCTGGTCGAAGAAGGCATGCAACCGGCCGGAGAGGGGCAGAGAGAGCTGCCGGCCAGAGAGGGCATCTGGTCCGCGGAGCTTGGGAGAGTGTTGCGCGCAATCAGATAGTACGCGAGGAAAGGAAGATGGGCGTGCAGGAAAGGAAGAGTAGCGCGCGAGAAGGAAAAATGATCCTTTTTTGCACAAGGAAGGGAAAAGGATCATGGATGGTGAGCGACCAAACTCGCCTTTTCTTCCAAGCGGAAGTCGCGGGACGGAGGATCCCAAAAATTAGTTTAGCCAATGGAGAGACTTTTGAAGGGGTTTTCCACCCATAAATAGCTAAATTTGAATTCACCAAGAGATTTATAACATCTCTTAGAGATGCTCTCTAGATTTACATTAAAATGTCTACCAATTCCACCTGATTTGCTTGTGTGCAAAAACAAATCTCGTGGACGTGCAGCTGAACCTAAGAGCTCTCCAGCACTAGCCCTTAAATCAGAGCCCCTACTTTTGGTTTGAGGGCTTTCTCTCATTTTTGAGGGTTTTATTTTTTACCTCTACTCCAACGATAACCCTTAAAACAGAGCCCTCAAATCCTTTTCTTAGTCACTGACCACTAGGACCCACAAGTCATTCTTAGAATCTTAGTGCTCTTCCTATCTAAGCTATCTCACACACAGGAGAGGAGGAGCAGGGACCGTTTGTCGTGGCCTCAATGGGGTTCCGCAGGGGGACCGTCGGGAGTTGTTGGCCGGCGGAGCAAGCTCGTCGGGGTGCCGTGGATGGCGGAGCAACCTCACCGAGGCATAGAAGGAGCTAGGAGGTTGGACGCTGCGATGGAATCCGGAGCTGAGCTATGCTTGCACACGTGGAGATTGCGCGAGGCTCCTCCAGCGGCCGCCCACGACTTATTCTCGATGGGAGGGAGGAGCGACAAGGATGAGGTTGTCGTGGCTTCTTCTCTGTGGGAGAGAGGATCAACGGTTGAGGAGCGGTGAGAGAAGGAGGTGGCCATGGCAGGGAGTAGAGGCCACGCGGAGGGGTGGATGTGGAGCAACGCGCGAGCCAACCGTAAAAACCATCGAGTAGGGGCTCCCTCCATAGCCCCCAGGTTGAGGGCCTTAGGGGTGAGATCTGAGGGCCTCCTACTTTTGAGGGCTAGAGTAGGCCCTGTTGGAGTGAGTTTTTCTTGTCTCAGCCCTCAAAAATAGGATAGGGGCCTAAGTAGATGCTCTGCTGGAGTTGCTCTAACCAGTAGTTCCCTTGTTTGGCGACTAGGGATGAAAACGGTACGCAAATATCCCATACCGAACCGTATCGTTTTTTACATTTAATCCTATCGAATTCATATTTTTGGACAAATTCGAATTCGGTTCAGAATTCGGAACACCAATTTCGAAATCAGAACGAAAACGGTTTAGACATTTTTTTGACCGTTTTCTACTTTTAATTCAGAATATCCCAAATTCAAAATTTGGTTTCAAAATTCAGTTTAAGCCAAATTTGGCCCACTAGAAGTCCAACCTTAGAAAAATATATCTTTTTCATATGATCTCGGATGAAAATGATTTTATATGAAAATTGTAGCTCTTTCTAGTTTTTAGTTTTTTCATTTGGGGTCTTTAAGATGTTCAAAAATTAAACAAAGTCTCAGTGGTATATTAATCACGTACTAGTGTGGCAGAACCACCCAAATTATATGGTCCACATGTGTCCGTCATTGTCTCATAGACCTCTGACCGCTGCACATGGGACCTAGATAACTCCGATAGTTTGTCGGGTGTCCTCGGGGAAACCCGAATCATCCATATTTTATAACTCATACATGATCAACATGGAGTTACACAACATTACAACATTTGGTACAAAAAAAACTTACATCGGAGTGCGGAAGACTTATAACATTAGATTACAAAACATGTTCCAATAGAAACTTAAGTTCCAAAAGATGAGTAGAACTATAGAAGTAACGTAGGTAAAGCATCTAAGGTAGGAGAGACGACCAGATCATGTCAAGCCAACTGACATGACCTCAATTAGCAGCACAAGTCAGCACCTACAACAGGGGTTAACAAACCCTGAGTACATGAGGGTACTCAACAAGTCTTACCCGACTAAAAGAAAAGACTCCAAGGGTATGCAGGTTTAAAGGTAAGTTTGAAGCAAGAGTAACTTTTGCAGAAAAAACTTACTATAAGTGGATCCTTACTTTCAATGTTTTAATTTCGCGTTAAGTTATCAGTAGTATCCAGTTTGCACCTAATCTAAATCAATCATTTCAATATGCATCTCATCTCTTCTCATATTTATAACCATAAGTAACCATATTTCCATTGATTAACTATGATGTATGGTCAGAGGGTCGAGTCTCCATAACTGAGGAGCACGACGATTCAAATCAATTTGGCCCAGCTAGGGTTTCCTTACCACACGACATATGCATGTCCAAAACCTACATATATCAACCTTCACTCGGATCCTCCAAAACATGAACCGGTCTGCGCTACCCAAGAGCACAGTACTCCACCTCCCTGCGTCGTTCGTCCATGATGGATTCATAGGATGTGTACATGCTACTCTCACCATCTCCCATGCCCAGTGCATAGTTTTATTTTCATATAATGGAATAGCTAAGGTATTAGGCTTACCAGAGTATGTGGCCAGTACTGCAAAGTCTCAA